ATGGATACATGGGAAGGTAAGGAAGGCTGCAGCTTTCTGTTACTGAGCTGTACTTTAACTCAACATGATCATGTGTGGGAGGCAGAGGAGAGTTGTATGTGATGAAGCTTAGAATGTGTTTTTCTCTGTGAGTTTGATTGATGAAGCTGATTTCTGTTTCTTTGTTGTTGATTAGTTTGTTGTTAATACGTCAAACAGCTTCATATCAGCCAGTCTGAGCAGAAGGAAGCAGCTCATTATTCTGCCTTCAAATGACTGTTGATGGAAAAGCTCCAGATACAGGCAGCTCTCTGCAGCCTGATGGAACTGATGCTACATTTGATGGAATTAAACTTTACTCTGAGGCTTGGTGATAAATATTCCAGCTTTTCACTGCATCCTCTGTGTTGTCTCCAAGTGCTTTGTTTTTGTCGGAGTCGTCACATATCTCAGAGCGCTGGTGAGCATGCACATTGATCTGTGTTGTGTGGCTCTGGGTTAGTGTTCATATGATGGAGAATCTATCTTTGACATGTTGTTAATTCTCTCTCTGTGGCTCTGTCTTGCTTTTATCTCCGTCCTGTTTTTGAATGGAGGTGTAGTTTGACTCTTTCATACGTGGTCAGTCTTTCCTTGAACTCAGTGAATGAATCTCTCCACAAATTGCTTTTAGCTCCTCGTTCTTTTGCTGCATCATTTGGCTGCATGAATTATCTTCAGTGCAGGAATAAAATAACCTTATTTTGGCAGTTTTCACACCACATCGCACTGTAAGCACTCACCCACCCATCAAGTCACCCACCAAGCCACCCCCTCTCTCCCTCCTTCTTTCCCCTTGTATTGCAGGACTCTGGAATGTGATTCTGTGGCTCTTCAGATATGGTCCACACATAGTGTGTGTGTGTGTGTGTGTGTGTGTGTGTGTGTGTGTGTGTGTGTGTTTGAGCTACTCATCACTGTTCTGTGTTCTCTGATCAGTGATTATCTCTGTGTTTATTGATCGCTCATTCACATCAGTTTTGAGCTAACTTGTTAATTGGCCGTTTAAAGTGAAATTATATCTGTTAGTTTGTTGTGTCCTTCATTTATTTTCCTTCAAGGACTTTGGTGTAGCATGTGGAGGAACCATGATACTGTATTGGTCCCCTCCCCCCTCATGTTAATCCCCCAGCCAGCAGCCATGTTGGTTGTGCTCCAGCTCCTCTCTTCTGCTCCTATAAGTCAACACATTGTGTGAAGCCCCAGCTCTGGTATAGCTCTGGGTTTTAGAAAAACTCTGTTCATGTATCTGTGCTGAGGATAAGCACAAAGAGGTGAACAGAGGGAGTGTGAGAGGTTGTTTATTTGGATTTAGATGTAGGGGCAGAAGCTGTGTGATGATCAATAGTAAGAGAGGGGGAGGTCAGGGACTCCTGTGACTCTGTAATGCCTGTCTATAAATAGCCAATGAGAGAAGCTGCTCATTCCATGCATGCATGCTTTTTTCTAATTTGACTGAAACATATCCATCTCCCTGGCCAGCCTTGTCAAACCAAACCATCAAGTCCATCATGTTGCAGATCTTTGTCTTTCAGGGGTGTGTTATTTCAACTGCCCCTGCACCCTTCCCCCCAGCACAAACATACACACGCACACGCACAAACACACACACACACACACACACACACACACACACAGGGCTAAACTTATCTGATGCATTGCAAATGTACTTTTTGTCTTTATGCTCATTTTTAAAGAAGCAGATGTTGATAAGAACATCTGAGACAAAACAAGCTCCACAGTTTTCATTCACTGTATTTTGCTCTTTTATTCATGACTTATTTCAGTGGGAGTTTGAGCTGCTGGCTCTGTAGGAGGACCCCCACACCCCCACCCCTTGCCCCCCTCCACGCTAATACAAGGGAGGCTCAACATTCATTAACATCACTTTTGTATGAATCTGTATCAGAGAGCACAAACTGTAAAACTCACTACCTGGTTCATATCAGTGTCAGCTGACTGTATTTTTAAGCAGAGGTTAAATAGTGAGGTCATCTTACATAGTTACCGGAAACAGATTACACAACACAACATGCAAACTTCGGTCAAAGTAGAAAAGTCATTAATGAGCATATTTTATTCTTTCTATTTTTGAATAAATTGACTAAAATATTTTGAATCCAGAGCTGTAAAGCTAACTACTTCAGTCATTCAACACCTCATATGAAAGTAGTTTAATACCAATTGATACCAATGATTTTGTAGCTTTCTTAACAGTTTTTTTCTGTGGAGACAAACAGTGATTTAAAAAATGGTTTTTGGATTTGCTTAAGAGAAAAATGTTAGCGTAATAATAAAAGCTGAGTATTGAACTTTAATCCTTCATGGTATTGACATAAATGTGCCACAGATTAGATTTACTTATTCTTTAATCAGATTGTTTTTAATTTAAATAAAAAATGTCAAGCATAAACAGTTTCATTGAGACGACTGTGTGTTTAAACAACATTTATTAGGTTAGGTTAGGTTTCTGTTTGTTAAATGAAAACACGTTTTATGTATCACAGCTAAGCTAATGAAAAAAGTTGTTGGTGCTGGTATATAAAATTTCTAATGATACTTATTAATTCAGCTGGTCATATTAAGGATAGATCAGTAGTTAAAAGCACATTGACATCAGTCCAGATGTATAAATGTAAGAATTTTGAATTTAAATTGAATCGATAAAATATGTTCTGAGACAGTTGGGCAGACTCCTGCAGTCGAGGCCTTTCCCCATGTGATTTAACAAAGCAGCGTCACATGGCATTAGCATAACATTTAATGCATAGCTTGTCTTTGGTGTGGTATTATTCAATGCTAATGGTTTAGCCTCTAAGCTGGGGTGTATATTATCAAGACACCAATGTCAACAGGTTGCCTTTGTGTCCTGGATGAGCCCAATCTACAATTGCATGCACATAACTTCAGAGATTAGCATCACAGTGTGGGCTGCTTGGAATGTTGGATCTGCAGAGTCCCAGAGGGTCTTGGAATGCCTCGTACATACCAGTCATAGTGAAGGGGGGAAAATGCTCCATCCCCAGGTAGGATAGATAAGTTTCAGAGGCGAGGAGGAGATAAGGAGGGGAGGGGAGGGGGGAGGGGTGCTAGCAGTGGAAAAGTACAGCACATTCCTCCATCCCCCGCTCCCTGTCTCAGCTGGGCATGATTGTGATGGAAAGCCCAGGACAAAACCTGAAGAGAAACCCTTCAGTGGCACGCCTTGTTGCTCTGTCAGCCACTCAAAGAGCCGCTTTACACTATACATCAGCCTTTGTGTGTGGCGGCTGGGGACAATGGGGAGATTTGGCTGTGATACATCTCTGTTCTCAGCATGAAGCTGCTGGGGGGGGGGGCATGAAGGAGTCACTTCAGCTGATTTCATCCTCAAAAATCATCTCACTCTCATTCATATGATCCGTGTGAGGGATGAAACATGCACACCTCCCCCAGTCAGTCAGCTTGCAGTGAACACTGACCGGGACATGTTGGATGCAATTGGAAATAAGAGCACTGTTTGTCTTTGCCATTGACTGGGGCTTTAAATGCTCCACTTGCATTTCCTGGTTTGCATTAAAGTTTGGAATGAAACCCAGGCTGACCCCTGGGAAACAATGCAGCCTTTAATGGGTCCTCGGGGGGTGTGTGTGTGTGCGTGTGTGTGTGTGTGCGTGTGTGTGTGTGTGTGTGTGTGTGTGTGTGTGTGTGAGAGCATCGGGGGTTCCTTTACCCAGGCTAGAGAGAGAAAGAGGGTGGAGATAAAAATGAAGCAGTGCTCTTAGTGTGGAGGGATTCACCGTCACAACTTCTTATAACAAAAAACAGCCTTTCAGTTAATAATAAATTAACAGCATAATTGCAGCATGTTTGACGCAATTATATAAGTAATTCAATTTATCAACAATCTAAGTTTGAAAAGTTTAAATCAGTGATACTCACAGACTCAATAATCATTTTACAGTAATAAAATATTAAACACACTGAAAGGGAACTTAGGCAATTTAGCTTAGCATTTTTATAAAGTTGGTAGATTTAAAACCCGAGGCTGAAATCCTCATTTCCCATAATGCAACATTAGTAGTTAGTAATGCTGTAGTAATTCAGCTCACATAGCCCTGATGACATCATCAGGTGTGACATCATCAGGGTTATTTGAAGCTCCAGAGCCACAAACGACATCATGCAGCTGTTTTCATTTCCCCATGACGGTGAACATCATGAACATCATCATCATAACATCATAAGTTTGAAACAGGAAATGAACACGGGTCTCATGTTGTTGACCTCCTCTCTAACACTTTGTCTGTTGGACTTTGTCGCTCTTTGTCCTACGTCATCGTCTCTTGTCACATTCACTACAGCCACTAGGTGTCACTTAACTAAATGAACTGCTTGTACAGACCCGTGAGGCTTTTTTCACTGGTCAGTCTCCACAAGACTGTTTCCAGAGGAGGATCCTGCTGATCCTCAGTTGGTCTCGACCTTTGCTTCAGTAACCTCTGAACTAAGTGTCTCAGCACCAAGTAAGCTGCCAAATACATTCCTGACTGATTATTCATTTTACACAGAGTAGCACCCAAGTGGCTACAGTTGTTTGTAAAGGGTCAACAACATGTTTCTTGCTCACCTACAGTCGTATATGACCGTTCGGATGGTTTTGGGTTTTTTTTTTTGGTTAGACCTCTTATCGCCACTCAGCACAGCAGCATGTCCAGAAACAATGTCCCAGTTAGTTCAGATAATCAGAGGTTTTTCAGTTGAACTACTGTCTAATGAGGTAGTCCCTTTGAAAACTGTTTACAAGGTGTTCTGTGGGTCTTCCAGAGTAAGGCTGGTGTTATCGGTGAACCCTTAACCCTCCATTTATGTATAAATCTGTCTTCAAATATGATGAAATCTTCATCTAAGTTACAATCAACAACCACACCATCTATTTAATGTGTCTACACTGAAAACATCATTCACACATTCACAGTGGAGCTGAAACAGTGTGTGAACAGAAGCTAACTGGAGTCAGGGGTATCAGACCTAGAGTCAGTCAGTGAAACCAGACTGGAGGTTTAGAGACACTTTGACTTCTAAACAACACTCAAACATTTAGAGAAACATCAGCTGATGTGAACCAGGCCTCACAACAAAGACACGTATCATGCTCAGGAACATCAGCTCTGTGTGTGGTGTAAACAGGTCTCTGCAGACAGACATGAACACCTTCTCCCACAGGTGGAGCAGGGAGGAGGAGCATCAGGTCTGCTGGAAGAGCTGGTTTGAGGTTATTGGTGGAAGGAGGAGGTCTGAGCAGCTGTTAAATCCAAGGGGTCACTCCTTTTATGACCAAAACCAGGTCATTCAAAGGGTTCAGTGACTTTTTATTCTGTGAGTAGCAGAAATTAAATCCCCTCCACTTCTGCTGTGTTACTGTAGAGAAACATCTCTTATCCACTTGGTAAAGTGAGAAAATGTATTCATTATTTCCTTGAGTGTTGTACACGATGTGAGTGTTTGATTCCAGACGGCCTCAGGCTGCAGGTCAGACGTGCTGCAGACTGAAGTTTTACAGTGAAACCTTTCTGTAAATGTCATGAATATTTAACTGTCATCTGCAGGAGGAGGGGGAGGAGTCATAGGACGTGACACGCTGAGATCAAGTGTGTGAACGTGTGAATCAGCCTGTTTATATGGTGGCCATGCACTTGAAAGACAGGGTGAGAGATTTGGCAAATAAGCCCAAGTGGAGGCAGCTAATAGCCATTGTGTTTTTGACTCATGGAAGGAAGTTGGGCTTTTCACAGGGGGGGAGGGGGGCAATGAAATATATGGTTTTAATGTCTTCTCTCAATGAGCACATGGTCTGACAAATGGTTGTCTGAGGAGGTGAGGGTGTGTGCTGTCGTTATTTACAGTAACATCAGAGTGGAGTTTAGCTGTAGCTGCATGTCTGCTGTGTGAGGAGGAGGATGAGTACAAGCAGAAAAGTTTGTTGGGTCTTTCTTCTCAGGCTTCACGGAGGTGTCGCTCTGCTTTGCTCTGAAGCTTAGCAGCTGAAAATCACTTTACTCAGACAAACTCACTGCACAATAGTGCAACAGATAAAAAAAAAAAAAAAAAAACACTGCTATAAAACGATTCAGGTCCAATATAAACAAGTGTAACCTTTAGTATACAGTCAGAGCAAATTATTGATCAATCAATAGTTGCCTATATATAATAAACTATACATATATATATATATATATTCTTCTAACTGTGTTTATAATCTTTATGATGCATTCAGGTCACACTGCATCCTCAAAAAGTTTATTATATTTCTCTCGAGCAGTGTGGACGTTGGCCCATCTCTGGGGAAACCTCGGCTAAGGCCAAGTGAAGGTGCCTCATTTCTGCCTTGACTTAACCTCCATCCTGTGGAGAATGAATCACCACAACAGTTAAACTCTCATCTCGAGCGAGGGGGGGCTAGCTGTGTAACACGTTACACATTATGGCCGCCTCTACAGTCTCCTGCAGGCAGCAAACTTAAAGCTCACAGCATTTAAATGGTAATCTGTCACTGGACTTTAGAAGTCCTCTATTCACCATTCATTATCTGGGAGAGGCTTTATGCGATGTGGTCTCCCACTTCCTTCTAATTACCTTTAGTACATGAACCCTGCAGGCTGCTATGAACCCCCCACACACCCCACCCCACCCCCTTTCTCTCTGGGAGGCTTAGCTCTCAGCTCAGTCACATGGCTCTGATGAGCTGCCCCTTTAAATCACACACACACACACACACACACACACACAAAGGCTTAAGCCTTCTCATTTGAATATTAAAGATTATGTTACTACGGCCTATCTATTGTCAAAACACGACACCTTTTAATCAATGATGGGTGATGGGGGGTCACAGTATCAGGTTTCTTCAAGTCCCACGAGGGAAAACACTAACACCTGTGTGAGACTCTGCAGCTGCTTCGTCCTCACTCTGTAACGGGTTCAAGACTCACTGACGAGGAGTCAGTGACGTCTTTAAATCATTTCTCAAAAAGGATGTCGTATGTTATGTTGAGCTGAAGAGCTGAATTAAATTTGTTACACTGGTCCAGCTCAATGTTCTCTACAAAAAAGCCTCTTGGACCTTAAAAGTCAGCCATTTAAAATTTTTTGAAAAACATTTTTGACATCTCCTCCAGGTCTGATTGGAACCAAACTGTCTGTAATTCATCAGTTGACCAAGCTCATTAACAGCTGTATAAAGCTTTGTTGATATCTTTTTTAGTTTTCAAGATATTGACCAGTAGATCACAAGGGGCGGGGTTTAGCAGTGAATTGGCCGTAACTCAGTAACAATTTGTCCAGTCATCATAAGTGTTGGTAAATATCTTCAGACCATGTTTGGTAATCGGTCTACTAAAGCCTTTTGATCCCGATCCATAGGGGGTGCCAAAAAATACCAAAAACATGTACCTGAAACCTCCTGGACAGAATCTCACCAAATTTGGTGAACATGATCTGTCGATGTCAGGTTAATACCTTTGATTCTGGGAAACTTTAATCTAAAATATATTAAACAGATTGATCACTATTGAAAATAACTGTTTTTATATAAGACGGTCTGTATGACATAAAAATAGTATTTCAGTAAACAAAGCAGAGATCATCTCACTGCTGCTCATCTGCCTCCATTACTGGTTTTCCAACAACAGAATCCATAAGAGGGTAAAGATGGTGCCTGTGTGGAGCAGTGTGCTGCAGTCCTCAGGAGTCTTACATTAATCAGATGTGTAGGTAAATCTGAGGCTCAGCAGGCAGCATTAACCTGCTGGACCACAGTCTCAGACCTACTGTGTCTCCGAATCCTCTGGTTGTTCTTCACAGGTAGAAGCTGCTGGTGTCATGGTGATCACCTCAGACTGTAGCTCCAACATCAACAGCTCAAATTTACTTCATGCTTCTTTGACAGTCCACAAGCTGGGTAGTAAGAGCTGCTGCAGCTAGCTCAGCTAAAGTAACAAAGGGCAGATGTTGAAATTGAAAAGGGGTTGTTAGACCACTGTGTTACTGTGTTGTAATTTTAGTATAATTCGTCCTATCTGCCCCAAACTTGGTCAGAAAATGCAGAACACCCCCATGCTTCGTTGTGGAAACTTTGACTTCTTGTTGAGCGGCGTGGCTGTGGTGGCGCAGCAAATGTTGATGTTTCACCATTAAACAGTTGTTGTTATAACTCTAATATACATTGACCAATCTGCCCCAAACTTCACATGTTTGATGACAGTCCCACACTGAAGACATCTGCATGTTAATATGAAGTCATGGTCACAGCGCCACCCACTGGATACAGGAAGTAACCCTTGAGAGACAATCATCATTTGATTTACACTTGATGTGCAGCAACATGAAGCATGTGTGGTGCCTGTTTTCTAGCGCCAAATGGTGGACACAATTAGAAGTGCAAAACATGAGTCCCATGGTTGTGACATTGCAGTACTGCTTTAACTACCCCTGAGTGAATTGTTGATGGTCAAGTTGCATTGTGGGTAATGTCGGTGCCAGGTTTTAATAAGGAATATGGTGTGAATGACAGTGTTATAGGAGGTCAGTGTTAAGGTCATCATCATGATCATATGGTCCTGATGTTTGATTCCAGTGGAGCCTTGATACAGATCAGCAGGAGACCACATTCCTGCTGCAGCCGGTCTGAGCCGAGCTGCTGCTGTAACCATGGACTCCATCCCATCTTCTTCCTCACCAGCTGTTAGCAGGAGGTGTGTGTGTGTGTGTGTGTGTGTGTGTGTGTGTGTGTGTGTGTGTGTGTGTGTGTGAGTGTTGTGTTGGTGTGTGTGTGTGTGTGTGTGTGTGTGTGTGTGTGTTTGTGCGTGTGTGTGTGCGTGCGTGTCGTAAAGCTTCAGACCATCATTGCAGAGAATAAGTGTGAATATGCACTGACTTAATTATCAGCTTAATCATGAGTTTGATTCTGTGCATTATGTGGCCTGGAGGTAGAAGGAGGATTAAGAACAGATTTTCAGTCGCTCCTCTCAGACTGCTGTATTTACAGTTTGAGAGCACCTTCAGTTAAACAGCTTCAGAGGGAAGGTCCTGAGCAGGATCCATCTCTCTTTGATCATCTCCCAAGTCTGTCACATCTCTACATTCTCCCACACGTCCATGTGTCACTGTGAATCACTTTCTAAGACTATGGCCCATTTTCTTCTTTTCTTCTCCTCTTAATGTCTCCATCTCTCATGGTCAGCACTCAATCAACTGCTACTGCTATTCTTAATGTGTTTTGTTCAGGAAATCTTGTTCCACACAACTTCCTGTGCCACGAGCCCCCTCCTCACATGTGTTCCAAATTACTGCCCTCATGTATTCCTGTCTTAACAACTTTTCACATTTTGGAGTGATCAGCAAAAAAGGTGTAGGTTAAACATCTGTGCAGAGATAGACTGGTGTGGAAGTAGAAGGTACAAGAAGATACTGATTAAGCTACTGAAATTGACAGAGCAGATTTCAGACACAGTGATATGTCTCTGTGTCCAACTAGAAAACGTCTTCATGTGATGTCAGGGTTGTTGAGAGGAGCGAGAGGTTGTAAACAAATCACTTGTGTCATATCAGGTTTCTGCTTCTGAATAAAACATTTCAGACGTCTCCACTCTCCATCCTAATGCCTGCTACACCTCCACTTTAACAAAATGAGAGTTGGATCTTAAGGATCCTCTGGATTAGCCAGCGCCTGGCTAGCACTTAAGCCCCAACCACCCCCCATGATCTCACTTAAAAACTTGTGCCTTCAGCAAGGTTTTTGCACCCACTATTTTTTTTTTCACGGTGTGGATGAATTAGTGCAAAGAAGTATGATGGAAACAGTTCTAAATCCTCCCCCCTCCTCTCTCCTGTTTTTGCCTCTGCAGATGATCCAGCTGACCAGCGAACTTGCCTCATCTGTGGAGATCGTGCCACAGGCCTGCACTATGGCATCATCTCCTGCGAGGGCTGCAAGGGCTTCTTCAAGCGCAGCATCTGCAACAAGCGCGTGTACCGCTGCAGCCGTGACAAGAACTGCGAGATGTCACGCAAGCAGCGCAACCGCTGCCAGTACTGTCGCCTGCTGAAATGTCTGCAGATGGGGATGAACCGCAAAGGTAAAGTGTGGACGCGTCGCAGGTGTTCAGGTTTCAGTATAACCACACATAAATGCACTGTCAACAATCTGCATTAAGGTTTTTATGTGTTTTCTCTATGTGGCTTTTTTGCTTGTAACTTAAAAGATTAACCAATTATGAAAATAGTAATCTGATAATATTCCTAATTATTCATTTAATCAAATACCACCTCCAGCTGGAGTTCAGTCTTGTAGATCCTGATCAGACTTTTCTTTTTGTGGCCGCTGCTTTGTTTCAGGGTAGAGTGATGTTTGTCCACAGCTCGTTTTAAATTTGATTTTGCTGAATATTACCACCAATATTATCAGTGTCACAGTCTTCAGATGTCACACCCATTTGTGCAGAATAATTTACAGAACAGACTGAAACTGGACACACTGATACCAACAGGCCAATTCAAACATTTTAATAAGAAGTCTGACTGAGGTGAGGGGTTGTTTTACTTAAACTCTTTCCTAACCTGCAGTTATGAGTGTTTAAATCGTCATCTTATTGTCTACCTGGTTGTGTATCTTAATGCATATTTTAAAAATAGTGATAATTGTGAGCACATATCTGAATGTACTGTATATTTAAATCACTGAAAATTTGTATTCATGCCATTAATATCTCTTTTTCTTAAAATCATAATTAAAAATGTCTCAGCTGATCTCTAACAATCGGTTGAGCATGGGTTTGAAAAATGACTAAAAAGTCATCAGACTGTTTATTTACATCATTCAGCCTCTAAAACTAAACCTGTACTAAATCAAAAACTATATTTAAAAAACTGAAACAAGCCCAAACTGATCCCTCTCCTGTCACCTGGACCCTGAGCTTGTGATTTTTAACCAGGTTAAATATATTTACTGAATTTTTCTCACACCTCCAGATGTGCTCTACCTTTACAGCTGTGGCTGAAACACACTAGTTCTACCAAATCAGTCTTTGTCCTCACAGAGTCAGAGTCTTTGTGTTATATGTATACGCTGCCCCCCAGTGGACAAAACCATGAACTGACCTTTCCGGCCCCTCCACCCTGAAGGCCTCATTTTCTATGATTTACTCTCCAAGTATTCAATGGAATGGATGAAATAGATTTAGTCTGTTTTTAACAGACGAGTCCCAGAGAACAGAGAGAAACATGTAGAAATCAGCACATGGAAACGGAGGAAGTCTGATGAGCTGCAGCCACTGGGCAGAGCTGTCACAGTGTCATGGTTCATGTTTTGTCCGTAGCTGAATTGTGTCTTTGTCTTGCAGCGATCAGGGAGGACGGTATGCCAGGAGGCAGGAACAAAAGCATCGGGCCTGTTCAGGTAAATCACTGACTTCACGTTCAATTATCAGCAGAAATGTTGTTTTGGTGACCCTCTCTGACCTCCTCCCTGCTCACACATGTATTATTGTGGCTCAGGCTCAGACTTAGCTCACTTACCCTGAATGCATTTACTGCACAAACCTTTTACTTAAATAACACAGAGCTGGAGTGCTGTAATGCTAATGATGTAGGTGTACTCACGAAGGTTGTAATGAGAGTGAGTCCTGACCTTGTTATATCATCAGTATAACCACGTAGTGCTGATTATTCCCTATTCATCGCCGGCTTCATTATGAACACTGGTGAGAGAGCAAATGGTCAGGAGAATGGGTGACACAAGGCTAAGTACCACTGAGCCACTATTCATGGGAGGGATGTGGTCAATTCATTCCAGCTCCATTCAGCAAGTCAAAAAAACACAGACACAGAAACGCCTGCTTCCATTAAAAGACGGCTTTATTTCTAAACCCTAATGAAAGGAGGACCTCTCTGTCATTAATATGGAATGAATTGCTGCTGCGGTGTACGTGCTGAATTGATGGAAATGAAAGTGAATTGACCCAAGCCACAGATACAAGACACCACATTTTCTTGCTCGCTAATGCTTTTCAAAATGGCTTTTGTTGGTGCTTTCTCCCTGCATGGACCTGCAAGGCTGCTATTGTTTTAGGTGTGTGTGTGTGTGTGTGTAGCAGTCAGTCAACACACACACATACACACCTTTTTGCCTCCTTTCTTTCTCTGCAGCTCCCTGTTTCATTGTGTGACTGTGTCCTTGCTCCTCAACATTTTAGTGAGAAGCAGCTCAGAGCTCGTCAATGCTGATCAATTGAACTGAGACACACACACACACACACACACACACAGAGCGGCTGGTCACATCACGATGTGCTCTAAACTCCAAAATAAAATGCCAACCTCTATCTGTGTTTGTTGTAGATCACAGAGGAGGAGATAGAGCGGATCATGTCGGGGCAGGAGTTCAAGGAAGACGCCCCAGAGCACACCTGGGGCAACAACGGCGACAGTGACCACAGCTCTCCCAGCAACGGAGCCTCAGAGGGCAACCAGCCATCTCCTGCCTCCACTCTGTCATCCAAGTGAGTCGTTCATCTCATCACTCAGTGCCGGCACCGGGCCCATCACGGAGATAATGAGCTGGCCCTGACAGTCTAACACCTCCTTCCTGTCTCACCCAGACTTAAATTACGGCATTCATCAGCCTCAGAATGGCTGAATATGCAGCTCCTCACATCTGTGATGATAGCAAAAACAAAGAACGTGCAGCACTATCTGCTGCTCGCGCTATGGAGACCAGTGCATTGTCTATCTGAACTCATCAAGGACAAATATTGTCTAGATACTCGCATGACGGTATTTATTTGAGTCTCTTTTTGTATAAATATGAGGTTTATCTATTCGGAGGAATACTTGTTTTATCAAATTAAATCTGAGCAGAAATGAACAACAATAGAACGCCTGAGCAGCTCAGCTCTGGTATGCAGCTTCAACACCAGCTGAAAAGTTTAGTCTACAAGTTTCTAAGACAGAAAATTGCAGAAACTGTTGATGAAAAAGTGTCCTAGATAAAGGTTAATGGTCATAAAGCTGGGATGTGTTTAGCCTAGCATAGCACAACCACAGGAAACAGAGGGAAAATCTCAGTCTGCTCCTTTGATATATAGACAAAAAAAGAGAATTGTGTGACCTTTGACCTCTGTGTGTTTGTCCAGTCGCTCTGTGGAAATGAACGGCTACACGGCGGCCCTCAGGGACCAGTACATCAACACCTCCATGTCCACACACTACCAGCTCCTGCCTCACCTCTTCAGCTACGCTGCCCAGTCCGGCCTGCTGGCTCCCCAGCCCCGCAGCCTCTACCCACAGTCCCACCCGCTGGTGGTGCAGCTGGTGGCTGCCGAGGACCTGGCACCCCTGGCCACACCCATGCTCATAGAAGATGGGTAAGAACATGTCACACACATACACAGTGTATATGGTTCTGGGTTGATGGTCATGTTACTAAAGGTCTTTAACTACAAACTGGCTGATGAGAGTTTGTCTGGTCAGTTTATTTCAGTCTCACAGAAGCTTCTAAATGCTCAGTGTTGTTTCTGTTTATTCCTCAGATGAATTCAACTCCAATTCTGCTTTTAACCAGCTTTGCGTGTGTGCGTGTGTGCGTGCGTGCGTAGCGTTCATTAATGACAGTGTGACAGAACCAGGAAACAGACAGGAGCCACCTAGTGGAACAATCCACCATTACAAACTGGTGGATAGATAGACGGTCCAACCCTAAGGATAGTTTACAATTTTATATATAATTGACAGACATGTAGATGACAGCAAAGACAATAAACAGTTTTAGAGATGTACAAATGAAAAGAATATATGTGTATGGTATGTGTCTATGATATATATATATGTGTGTGTGTGTGTGTTTGTGTGTGTGTGTGTGTGTGTGTGTGTGTGTGTATATTTTTCAAGGTTTTTATGTGATGTAGTCGTTTGTATCTGTCTTCTGTGAGAGCATAAAAAGGAAACTATAGTGGATATTAATGATATTAATAATTGACATTAATAATATAATTTAAAAAAAATAATGATTTATATGATATCCTATCCTATAAATGTAATAAAGTAAATAAATAAATCTTACTACAAAAAAATGCTAATATGATGGTATAAAATGTAATATAATATAAAGTAGGGTAGAATAATATGATAATAGTGTGGTGGTGTTATGACAGAATAGTATGTGTTATTTAATATAATAATTCTAAACATGTTATATTATAATAATATGATATTTATTATTATATTGCGTAACAATTATAATTTAACAAAGTGAAGTTACGTAGCGATGGGTGGGGGGTCATTTTAGCATCAGTCAAACTTCCCCCCATCTGTTTGACACATATAACACAGCTGTCTCTGATCCCGTGCTGTTGTGTGCTTCTCAGGTACAAAGTGACACAGGTGGAGCAAAAACACAGCTAACATTAGCATTAGCAGCTTTTTACTGACCAGTCTAGAAGAATCGTTGTTAGTTCACAATCAAACTTCATTCCTTTACTCACCAACATCCGTCTCCAGAGATGGAGACAAACACCAATGTTAACTTTTGTCACTATCACATCTTTTCTTTTCCTGAAGTTAGCATGCTAACCAGATAGCCCTGGCCCGTCTCCCGAAGTTAGCATGCTAACCAGGTAGCCCCAGCCTGTCTAGTCACTTTCTGAGAGCGACTCACTGTCCTGAAGATGTAGCTGCTCTGAGGAAGTATTATGAGCTCTTGTATTATAAAGACAACAATGGCTGAAGCTCTTCCACCACCTGATTCTGTCCAGAAACCAGGTTCAGCAGCAGAGGAAACTCACAGACAGAACCTTTAAGCCTCTCTGTTCTTTGTTATGATGAACACGGCTGCCTTTAAATGCTTTCAACTCCAGATATACTTCGTCTCCTTCCACCTTATCTTCTAGAAGGTTTCTATTCATGAGGCCTACACCTTCATTTGAAACACCCTGTTTACACCTGGTACTATAAAAGAACTCTCTATCCAGATAATAAACCATCTGCTCCTGCCTCTGTGTTTACACCTGTCTCATAAAAGGAAACTATAGTGGATATTAATGATATTAATAATTGATATTAATAATATAATAAAAAAAATGATTTATATGATATCCTATCCTATAAATGTAATAAAGTAAATAAATAAATCTTACTACAAAAAAATGCTAATATGATAGTATAAAATGTAATATAATATAAAGTAGTGTAGAATAATATGATAATAGTGTGGTGGTGTTATGACAGAATAGTATGTGTTATTTAATATAATAAACATGTTATATTATAATAATATGATATTTATTATTATATTGCATAACAATTATAATTTAACAAAGTGAAGTTACGTAGCGATGGGTGGGGGGTCATTTTAGCATCAGTCAAACGTCCCCCCATCTGTTTGACACATATAACACAGCTGTCTCTGATCCCGTGCTGTTGTGTGCTTCTCAGGTACAAAGTGACACAGGTGGAGCTGTTTGCTCTGCTGTGTCGCCTGGCAGACGAGCTTCTATTCCGTCAGATCTCCTGGATCAAGAAGCTGCCGTTCTTCTGCGAGCTCTCCATAGAGGACTACACCTGCCTGCTCAGTTCCACCTGGCAGGAGCTGATCCTGCTCTCCTGCCTCACCATCTACAGTGCCCAGATCTTCGGAGACCTGGCCGACGTCACCGCCAAGTACACACCGTCTGACGACGAGCTGCAGGGGTGAGTGGAGGAGGGTCAGACAGTTTGGTTAGAGCTGCTCTCAAGTGTTTTATTCCCCATGTTGTTTTTAGGTATGGACAGGAAGGACAGTTAGAATCATGACCCTAAACTACAATTAGTTTTTAACATCAAACAAGAACATAAGTAGAGTTTGACTTCACTGGAGGTACATTCACTTAAAGCTATACAGGTCAAAGGTCAAGGTGGTGAAGGATCTACAGAGAACCTACTGAGCTGTTTAGCATCTTTAAGTTAATAACTGTTTAGATTTTATGGCGCACAGCCTTCCTGTTTTGTTTCAGTCTCAGAGTTTCCATCAACCTGCTCAGCACCAAACAGCAGATCCTTTAGAGCCTTTAGCAGCTAAAGACACTGATGTTTCCTTCAGAAGCTGGTGGACAGGAACACAACTCCAGTTTAAAGCTAACGTTGCTCTATGTCTGCTGGATGTGCAAGTAGATGACTGTTAGCTAACATGTTCATAGCAACTTTATGAGATGAGGAACACACTGGATGTGAGCTATGGAACGTTGTGGTTTTACTTCGGTTAATGTTAACGGGTTAGAGCGACACACTGTCTGTGTGATCTAGAGATTCAGGGTCTCACCTGCTTTTCACTGTGACAATGTCTCCAGCAGAAACATACCTGACGATGTCATTGTGACATCATAGCAGCAACATTTCTAGCCTGAATCTGAATATGATACAGACATGAAAAAATATGAATATATTTTTTAACAATTGTAGCAGCTGCATGTGGAGACAAAGACATTTTAGAGACATTTTCTGTCAAAAATAAATCAATTAAATAATAATAAAGAGAAATCCAACATTGGATTAGCCTGTAAACTCTATATAGAGAGACAGAGCTGCAGTGTGTTCCCGGCTGGGGATCAAACTTCGATACTTTAAAGACAGACTGAATTGGTTTGATACTATTGAGGATCAATGTCTTGTCATTTGATACCTAAGGAGTAAATTCATAAATCTCGTCAGGAATCCTGCAGGAGTTTTGCCAATTCGACATTTCATATCAGGAATGAAAGGTTCTCTGCAGGCGAGACGTTGTCCGAGACGTTCTTCTGTGTGAGTTCAGTATGTCAGAGGGTTTGACTCTGAGTGTGTTGTTGTTGGCTGAGGGCCAGTGAAGTGGTCCGTGAAAGGGAGGACTCCCCAGGACAGAGCTGTGGCTAGCACCGCCTCACCTGTGAAATACACACATGTCCCACGTCAGGTAGAGCGAGTCGGGGGGTTTCTGTTCTGTGTAAATCAGAGCAAAATTATCTGACCTCATAACCCACATTCTCTTAATATACGGTGTTGTTGTGCTGCTTCGTTCAATTTGCCTCTAGTTTAGGAGTGAATGTGTGATTTACAGAGTGAGATTAGAGCCGTGGGAGCCAGAAACACAGGGAACTGAGGCTCAATGAGTGGAGTTTAAAGTTTCTTTTACAAAGTGGTGGGATCAGGAAGACGTTTAGTTGATCCTCCCTCATTTCTGCCTGTTCACTGAAGCACAGAAGATAATAGTTTTAAGGGGATTTTACATTCTTTTGACGCGCTGCTCCACTTCATCTGAGTAAAACTAAAACTCAGTTTTATCTTTAAAATGCTGCTAACCCTAACCCCAGCCTGTGTGTGACCCCTCAGCTTCAGCGAGGACGGGATGGAAGTCATGGAGAGGTTGATATATCTGTTCCGCAAGTTCCACCAGTTGAAGATCAGTAATGAGGAGTACGCCTGTATGAAAGCCATTAACTTCCTCAATCAAGGTAACAGCACAAGCTCTAATGATACTGGATCCAAGCTTTCCTGACCCCCCATGTGTCCCCCACATGACTCTCTCCCTTCCATTCACATCACTGCAGATATCAGAGGCTTGTCCAACACCTCCCAGCTTGAGCAGCTGAACAAGCGCTACTGGTATGTGTGTCAGGACTACACTGAGTACAAGTACCCCCACCAGCCCAAACGCTTCCCTGAGATCATGATGTGTCTACCGGAGATCCGCTGCATCGCAGGTAAGGCCTCCAAGTTCTGTCGAGAACACAGGTCGCTTTGTTTTATGCTGCATTTAAAAGAGCTATGTGTTTTTGCTATTCCTACACAGCTAACATTAGCATTAGCAGCTTTTTACTGACCAGTCTAGAAGAATCGTTGTTAGTTCACAATCAAACTTCATTCCTTTACTCACCAACATCTGTCTCCAGAGATGGAGACAAACACCAATGTTAACTTTTGTCACTATCACATCTTTTCTTTTCCTGAAGTTAGCATGCTAACCAGATAGCCCTGGCCCGTCTCCCGAAGTTAGCATGCTAACCAGGTAGCCCCAGCCTGTCTAGTCACTTTCTGAGAGCGACTCACTGTCCTGAAGATGTAGCTGCTCTGAGGAAGTATTATGAGCTCTTGTATTATAAAGACAACAATGGCTGAAGCTCTTCCACCACCTGATTCTGTCCAGAAACCAGGTTCAGCAGCAGAGGAAACTCACAGACAGAACCTTTAAGCCTCTCTGTTCTTTGTTATGATGAACACGGCTGCCTTTAAATGCTTTCAACTCCAGATATACTTCGTCTCCTTCCACCTTATCTTCTAGAAGGTTTCTATTCATGAGGCCTACACCTTCATTTGAAACACCCTGTTTACACCTGGTACTATAAAAGAACTCTCTATCCAGATAATAAACCATCTGCTCCTGCCTCTGTGTTTACACCTGTCTTCATAAATTTACCTATTTCTGTAGGTACTGTCTGTGTTTGCTTGGACAGTGCTGTCACCCCAAAACACTGTTAAGCACCAGTCACTGTAACTGTTCTTCTTTCTTTAACTTTTTATCACTTTGGCTTGCATTGTGATTGGACATCATCATTCCTGCTCTGACTGAAAATACCACAGAGCACTCAGAAGTTAGCTAGACTAACTCCAGAAGTCGTCAGGCAGATCTGATCACAACAAATTTATACCTTGCATGAACTTGCATTTTTCCTTTAATGTGGTGTGTTGCATTTTAATAGCAGGTGTAAACTGAGCCGTACAGACAGACCTGGAATTCTAATTCTAATCTACCATTTTAATTTGGTCCAAACATCCTCTGTTTGTATCAGTTGTCTTGATAAAATTGCAATATTGTACATTTCCACAGTGTTTCTGGCTCTCAGCTTCTCTTACAATAGAAACTGTTGTAACTCAGTTAATCCCAGCTGCTTCAACGTTGCTGTTTTTTGATCCATGTTAAGTTCCTGTCACAGACACTTGGCACTTCCTGCACTGATGTGTCATACTGAAAACCCTCCTGCAGCTCAAAGGGTTCATCTGTCCCCATGCTGGTTGAAAGTAGAAACGATTGAAACTAATGAGTGAATGAAAACAGTATTTGTTTTAAAAAGAGTGGTGAATATGACGTGACTCTTTTGTGGTATATTCTTTGGGCACCAGTTTTTGCCAGATCTGGCAATTATTTAATTATTTGTATCTAATCCATTATCAAATTACTTCACAAATTCACAGCATGCCAATGTGAAGCAGGCTAAGCTTAGCTAATTGCTCAACTAAAGTGGTTGTTTTGGTTTCCAGGGAAGCTGGTGAATGTCCCTCTGGAGCAGCTCCCCCTCTTGTTCAAAGCAGTCTTGCACTCCTGCAAATCCAGCCTGGCCAGCTACAGGACCGGCCCGTTGCCCTGCGTGACCACCTCCGCCGGAAACTAGACCCCACCCTCGACCCCCTGAGTTGAGGGATTGGTCTCCCCTCTTGTGAATGTGACAAGCAGCTAGTTTGTTTTTTGTAACTTTTTTCCTTTATATATTTATTACATGACAGAGCTGAATGTATGCTGATTTACACTGTGCACATGCTTCTGTACAAAACAAATGCTCGTAGATGCATTGGTCTTTGGAGTTTACAAGTGTGTATCCAGTTTGCTCAATGTGTCAGTGTTGCCATTGTTAGAGCTAGACTTTAAAAGAGTTTATTTTATTCAGACGGGGGCGGAAAGACACGTGATGAGTGTTGTGAGACTACCTCAGGAAGATGTTATGATGTTATGTATTTTCAGGTACCTTTTTGCTGTTAAATGAAGAGTGGCCCAGTCTAAAACCAAATCCCTGTGGATGCTTCGGCACCTCAATCAGAGACTGAATGTTCAGAAAGGAGCTGAATAAATCAAAGATAAGAGACAGTGTTGTGTTACACTGAAAATGCAAAGTTAGTATTTTATCTGCATGGACTCTCAGACATCCTGCTAAAGGGAGGTGGTCTTGTCAATTTAACACATTCCATGAGCTCAGGTGACAGGTGTTGGATCTTCATTGAAAAAGGAGCATACGGGTATTTTTTTACAATCATAGACTGGGGATGTGAGGCTTTATGGCAGGGGAAGAAGAGGACCCTGGTTTGCTGTTTTTAGTTTTATTGTTTTCCTTTTTTGACCAAAGTGTTATGCAATGCTTTTTTCAAACACCCATTGATGGGTAGGGAGCTGATAGCTTCACAAAAAAATGATTTCTTATCAATGAAGGATCAGGATAAGAAATGAATCAATCTGTGTGTGTGGGGGGGGGACCCTCTGCTGGACAGATGAGTATGTTGCTGGATTTCATTCTAAATGCTGCTAAACATGCGCACATTCTTATGCACACACATTAGCATTGAGCTGACGTGATTCCCAGTCTTTGCTTTTGCCGCCACTTCTCGCCAGATGTCTTTTGGGCTCTGCTGCCTTCAGGGACGGGAACTTCTCTTCAAGTTCTCATCAATACATCACCTGAGTTTAAGGTCCACAATACTGATGTTTGGTTAAGGTAGTGCTCGGTATAAAGTCGACTTCTTTAGTTCATTCAGAATAAACCAAAAATCATGAAACATAATTCTGATTAAGAGACTTTTATGGGTCAGTGAACGTATCATTGACCCAGGAGAACCAAAGTGGAACGGATCCAGATCTGAACCCAGGTCATAAATAGTGGTTTACAGTCAGTGTTCATTACCTCTGGTTCATTTGAAGCTGGCGTAGAGCGCTAGCTTCTGTTAGCTTCTGTTAGCTCAAACCAGCTGGTCTGTTCAAATGTTCCACTTTTACAGGAACTTAGACTGTGTTCAGGTCTCTTCAGGTCCAAATCAAAATTTTGCACAGACCCAAGACCAGTGGCAGTTTTAAGTCCGACCTGACCCCGATTTAAGGGGCACTACAAATTGTGGACCCAAGACCTGGTTCAGGTTCAGTGGGTAATGTTGGCTCAGACATAAACAAACGGATTATCACTTTAACCTGGACACAAGTGGATTCAGCGTGATCCATCTGGACCGTGTCTCTGTGGATTCAGCCTGGGTTTAGAGAATTTAGGTGACTGACCTCTGGCTTTTGTACCCTCTGTGACAGATATGCACATTGTTTAAAAAGAAGCCATAGAAAATGGTCTTTATTTTTGAAGTATGAGATGATCATTTCAAACAGCTTGAAGCGTCTTTGTAGATACTTCAGGTTTTTAGCCGTTTCATTACGTATGAACAATTTTGAAATGCAGACAAAATGCAGTCCTCGCAACGACTCTCTTTTTTGCACACGACGGTGAGGTTCAGAGACCTTGACCCTTGACCTCGGCCACTGCCCACCCAGTGTGTTCCTCTCTCTCAGGTCCCTGCCGACCTGGATCTAAACAGGGTAAAGTGAGTATTAAATGTATTGCATTCAGGAGTTCCTCAGTGACCATGCTGATGTACTTGTAGTATTAGTAGACGTAGGTTCCAGGACATTGTAGGTCCTCTGTAGAAAAAAGTGTTTTCCTTTTCCACTTTATTCCACCCCCCCACCCCCACCCCAATTCAGTGAAAGTGGATGTAGTTTGAAGGTGAGACATGCAGTGTGGATTTTTCTCTTGGCATTGATGATGGATGGATGTTTCTATCCACCTCTCTGTGGGCAGCCTTAACACCACCACCAGTCCAATGCAGTGTTCCTCTTTCACATGTTTCAGTTAGTCTCTTTTCATTTGATTTTTATACATTTTCATGTACCTTTGTAGTTATTGTGAATCTTTTGGGTTTTTGTTGTTTTTTTGAAGACAGCCCCTCATTTTTTTTAAATTTTGAATGAATTCTTGACTTTTTTTTTTTGGATGTGATTATTAACAACTCATTCCTTGTCCACAGTGGTTTATGAAAAAAAACTATTACTCAGGCAATGTCAGCCACGTTTTATATGGACAATACTGACGTCTTTCATGTATTTTTCTTTGAGACATTTTCCAATGCAAATGTGATGTTTCGGAACCATTGTTGGTTCCAGACTTTAATGAAACTACACTCATTTTCTACCAGCAGTGTTCTGAGAGCAGCTGAGTCAGCTGCGTGGAGAACGTCTTCTCTCTCCATATACTCAAATGTACATCATCTATCACACAGGCTTCTGAGGTTAAAGTCTTTTCATCTAAATTACAGGAAAATATTTTCTCGCTCACCTCCGGTGGTTATGTCGCCATGAAGACAGTTTTGGTTTGAAGTTTTGAGATTTCCGTTTTCACCTCGATAAAATGGACATAGATTTCTTAGGGACTGTGTCTTTGCCAGAAAGTAGTTCCATGACAAACTAAATTCCATCTGTCATCAGTGTGTTCAGCGAGTATCAAGGATGTTGTTTCTCAAAGGTTTTTGTTGATTTTCTTTTTGTTTGATTTTTTTTCAAATGTGATTATCAGATATTTCAATAATCTGAGCAAATAAAACCAAAACTATCTGCAGGGCTGTACAGCGAGTGAGAAAATGTGTTTGTGTAATGTTGGTGATGTGACCCTTTAATCCACACATTCTCAGGGATAGATGCTTCTATGTAACACAGATCTGAGTGATGTGATGAATCATGTTAAAGGAAAAATCCCCTTTAAATACTCTGCTAAGAAACCACTACACTGGAGTTTAATGATAGAGATGTCAAATATATGAAATAAAACTGTCAGCTTCTTTTTTCTAGAGCTGATATGTAGCACTGATGTTCAGCAGGCCAGCCTCTCTGTACACAGACAGTCTGGGCAGTGTAGGATACTGCTGAGGTTCAGGGTGGCCAACAACAAATATCTCAGAGTAACTCCAGGAATGCACTGAACATCACAGACGGCTGAGATCTGACGGTGGAAGAGGATCTGAAGTGGGATTTTTTCTTTAATGTCACAGCAGCATACGCTGATCATTATTATTTTATTTTTTTAAAAACCTCACCATAGCTACCTTACTGCCACTGCTCTGACTTCGTAACGGGCATATTTTGACACACGTACTGAAAAAAGTGTTCTTTTTTTATTTTCTGTATTTGTATTTTTTGCAGACAAGGGATGTCATTTGCAATTTCTGTACTGAAACTACCTCTTTATTTGTCATCATGTTACTTTCAAATAGGTGATTTTTTTGTCTTATTTATTGGTTTCATTGCACCAATGTTCTGTTATTTTGTGTCTCTTATTTCACTCAGTGACCTCTCAGCTTTAGAAATAAGTGCTGATACATGTTTCCCTCCTCTTTTCTTTAATGCGTGAACATGTTGCCTCATATTCCTCTGTACCTCTGTATGACGGTGTCAGTGAGCTGAAGAAGCATTCATGTGACGCGCTCTTACTGCAGTGCTTTATTTTCCTGTGCTGACCTTTATGAAGTCCGTCTGTTATCTTGTGAATGGCTGTTTGTTTTGTACGCTGTATTCACCACATCATGATACGACTGTGTCTGTGTGTTTTTTCTGTTGTTGAGATGGTTCAAGGTGACGTGTAGCGGTGACATCAGACTGCTATCATATCTGTCGATGCTGCTCGTGATCGATTATCAATCAGAGAATGTAGCTGTGGTCGGACTGACATCTCCTGCTTTCACTTGCTGTTGTGACCCTGACGCTGTGGCATGAGACCACAGACACACTCAGTGCAGTGTTATTACCGGGGGTTGGACTCATTTGGGTTTTGAATAGAAACTGCCTCATTTAACTGATACCAACGTCATTCCTCTCACATATGATGCATTTAGCTCGCAGAGATCTGAGGATACACATCAACAGTTCAACCAGTTCATCACTTTAAACCTCAACAAGATCCTGCAGAACTTTGGCCTATCATACTAACTGCATGTTCAGATTTTTAATAAACAAAACATAGTTTTAAACTTGGGATTTATTTCACGAGTTGGTCATCAGACTGCTTGTTGTTACCTTTCCAGAAGATGTCACTATAACCAGGAGGAACCACGATCCCTCTCCTGCAGGAGGCACTCTTTAAGCCCCAGTACAGGTGAACCGACATAATGAGTCCAACCCTGGTGCTGTAACACTGTGAGAAGCCTGTTGTACAGGAGCACAAGATGAGAAGAGTTTTTTGTGTTCATTTTTTTTTTTTGCGGGTGGGGGGGGAGTAAAAGAATGTCAACATACCTCAGGGAAGAAATAGATTTTACACACTGTCATCATCTGTGATCAGACAATGGAAACGCCTTCATGTTTTTCTCTTCAGAAATCTCTTGTCTGCTCTTGTTACTTTAACTACCTGTGAAGAATGTGATCCATTACGTGTTAAAAGCATGTTTAGAATGTGTTAGGACTTGAAACCAAATAAATGTGAACATTATGCAAGTGTACACAGACTGTCCTACTTTTTTCTGACTTTTATACACAGTGATCATAACTGATGTGATGATGGTCTATTCAGTGAGTGATAGTGAGCTTATTGAGCGATAA